AAACATCATCTAAAGTTTTTCAATACAAATTTCCAAGTTTTTCTTACAATTTCTGTGATTTTTATCTAATATTTACCAATATCGATAATTTTTTGATATTTCTATCTATATTTCCATGTTTTTGGACCCCCGATATTTCTGAAACTCTTGATATTTTAGACCTTGCTCACAACTCTATTAAAACCTAACCATTTGTTCATCACCTTCTCACCTAAGATATCTCTCAATTACTCCAAACATTTTTACTTGTTTGTCTTTTTTCATTTTGCTCAAAATTGTTGTTCCAAAGTATGGCTCAAATTGTTTCCGAAAATAAAATTTTGTGTTGCTTTTCTTATCCTTCGATTTTTATCACAAATAAAATAATAATAAATTAAAATAACAAGTTTTGAGTTTTAGCCCCTAGCTCCTCACCACCAATAGAACCACAAAAAAGTTAGATTTTGTGAATAGTACCATTTTGAGGGGGCTAAAACAACACCTTGTCCCTTACACCTTGCCCTTACATTAGACATGCTCTTATGTTATATGTACGGAGTTGGTGTAAGATCTCGAGCCACAAACACCACTTGGTGATTCTTATACAACCCAAAATGCAAAATAATTTTTAGGTTTTTTTGGTGCTTGAATTTAGATATGTGTCCCAATTCAATACCATAACTTTATATATAAGAGATTTGAAAGAGGAAGAATCGAATCTAGAGCTTCATCTTAATCACTTGAGTTACAAGCCCCTTATTTTAATACCAAAACTTTAATTTGTCTCAAAATACTCAATAATTTTTTTTGTTAGCAAACTAATCTAATTGGCAAAATTCTTTGTAATTAACATGGTATAGTGATTTGAAATTTATACTTCGTCTAAGATTTAAAAGGAAAATATTGAGAGTTAGATGTGTAAATTGTTATGAAAATTTTGCACCAAGATGTAAAAGATTATTCTACTTTTTTATTTTATTTTCGGTCCGAGTTTCCAACACTTTTCTTAACAAAACGGGTGTGTGTGACCCATATTGTTGTGGGAGGACTATTTAGACTTTAGAAGCTTTTAGTTTTTTTATTCGTCGTTTCAACAGAAGAGAGAGATTGCTCAGAAGAAAGGAAAAACAAAAAAAAAGGGGAGAGAGATGGGTGGAGCCCAGGCGATGAAGAGAATCCCTCGCATCAAGTTTCCTCAGAGACATCCCAAACCCTCTGGTCTGTCGTTCTAATCGTTTTCTGAACCATTGGTTTCACCTCAACATATTGATTTTACTCTCCACTAACTTTAAGGTCTATGCATGTATGTACATATGCGTTTGAATTTCTGCTGTATTTTTGTTCCAATTCTTATGGGTTCTGTTGAATTGGTCTAAGATTTGTGCGTTGCTTGTAAATTTGGGAACTTTATGATGTCTTATTTTCTCTCTGTGTTTACATTGAATCATAGATTGGATTTGTGATATCTCCAAAACGCCTAATGGTATGAACTATAGACTGATTTCAATTGGTTGCTTTTGTAACATGTTGCCATTGGTTTAAGCTTCTGGGCAACCATTTGTGTGAGCTTAATAGATTGATAGGTTTCATTTACTAAAATTAGCTGCCTCGATTTTTTTGGATGGAAATCTCTGCTTGTTGGTTTAAGTGCATAAACTATCCGGCTTGGCTGCATCATGCAAATGCTGAAAGTAAGATGTAGGCAGCGCTAAAAATATGGGAATTGATTACATTGAGAATAGGATTAACCGGAAGATGCCACTTGGGGAGGGAGCCTCAAATGTAAGTTTTGAATTTTCTGCAGGTTCCTGAATGTTTCGGCCTAAACGTTATACTTTCTGAGGTTGGTGAACTAATGCAATATAACCCCAAATCCAATCCCCACTTCTATGGGTAGTTGCTTGATCTTTAATTGATTTGGCGGTTTCATTCATACTGATGTGGTCACATGTAGGCGAAACAAGTGGGGCAATGCGTCAATTTAGATTGACCATATGAAGTCATATAACTTAGGGGAACCAACTTTTGAGTTTTCTTGTTTTGATTGCCTCATGCTTAGTCATGTAATATTCAGACTCGAAGAATCATGTAATATGGATTCATATTCTGGCCACATATGAATTATGTATAAGATTAATGCTATTTTATCAGACAGTTGGACTGTTTATGAGAACTGTTGATAAGGTGAAATCATGTTTGAATTTGCTGTCATAATTGACAGTCTAAGAACATTAAATACATACATTGTGCGTGTTGCATATCTATCGATGTAGCAAAATTGGACATGCATGATGAATCTATTGTTGATCTTCATCTTAATTGTAATCCTCATTTTCAGCTATTGTTTGAAGTTTCTTACTTGTTCTTCTCCATTGAGTCATACACATTTGTTTAGACACTATGTTGTTCTTTTGGGGTCATAGTTCGTGTTTTTTCTTAACACTTGTAATTATTTACTGGGCAGGCTCTGAATCTCGCATTCAAGCAGAACCTTTGGCTGGTGATGCTTCTCATACTTTCTTCTCCGGTTCAAAGGCCTCAACCACCACCACCTTAGGAGGAAAAGCTTCTCTTCAACCCGAACGAACACCATTGTCCAAAGAGGAGATTGAGGCCATTTTGATACGTGGAACTTTCCTTTTTGTCTCAAGAAGTTCTACACTTATGGTTTGATTCATCAAATTTTCATGCAATGAATTTTGCAGCCTTAAGTGCTTCCTCTGTCTTGTGATTTTAAACACTATTGAGGCTTAAACAAATAATCAACTGTGTAAAAAGGATAATGCTTGCCTCTTGACTGGCTATTGATGCGGCATGTATTTATTGGTATGAAGTGGCGAAAATGGCTAAAGTGGCTAATGTTGTGAAAGTGGTGGATTCCTCAGTTTCACTAATAGTTAATAAATCTATGCTAAGTCAGCAGTTGTTAGGAAATTCCTCTTCACTGTTTAAGGGACATGTATTGTTCGCCAAAAAACTATGGTATATGATGAATGGTGATTCTTTTTGATATGTGAGTTATAAATTGTGAACTAAACATTTGAGGCTTGATCAGGATGGGCGCTAGTCCAGTGAACCATCGTCATCAAAATTTTGAAAGGGCTAATGTGATAAACTTGAAATCAATTTTCTTGGCTAATGTGACAAACTTGAAATCAAATTTCTTGTCTGTCTTTTCTTTGGGCTTGCACTTATTTACTTATTTATGTTAATTGTCTTTGGGCAGTGGGGTGGCTGCATCTGATCCTGTGTGGAGATTGAAGTACAGAGGACTATGTGTTGGACAATGTTTTGACCCTTTTTAAGCACCTGGAAGCATCCAGAGTTGACTTCTTTCTATTGTTTAAAGAATAACCTACTAGCTGAAATTCATAATGATAGACAACACTTTGAACAATAAAGATGTGATATTGATTGGCATCCTTATGACATGTTTTCTCTTGTAGTCTTGTTCATGCAATTTACAATACAAGTGGTTGCCATTTAAGCTAGAAATTTCAGTACTGCACATTCCGAATTCAAATACATATGCATGTGATAGAGTTTCTAAGGGAATGACTCATTCAGAATCCTTTTGGAGAAAAGGTTCGAGGACCGCAGATTTGGGATTTTTCCCAGGAGGGCCCTTGTCTCTGCGCAGGAGCTCTCCCAGTCGGAGTGTAATTAACCTATCCCAATTCCCTCCCTCAAAAAGAACCCCAGCTTTCCCATCGGTGATTCGCTGTACAATGCCACAGTACTTGTAATAAGGGCTATTAGGGTTGTTCACAATGGCAATCATACCAGGCAGCAACAATGGCAATTCAGGTGCTTTTGGCTTCTTTGAGCTCACAAGTGCCGCAGTTGATCCAGAGTCTGCAACCAATGGCTTTTTGGGAGGTGGGTTTTTCTCAATGAACTTCTGCAACCCCTTCTCCCCACCAGGAAATCCCCCAGTAAGCCCCATAAGCTCCTTTTCAAAAGCATCTTCTTGAACGCTTTTAAGAGCACTTGCCGCAGAACTCTCTGATTTTTCTTCATCTGTTTCAGCAGCAACGGCTGCTGATACTTGTTCTTCCACATCTTTTTGTTCTTCAACATTTCTTGTAAGCTCTTGTAGCAGACCTTCTTCACCACTGCAAAGCCCTCTGCCTCCCAAGATTTCAGATAGATTGAATTTGGCACATGGCCTTAGGGAATGGATCGATGGCTGTTTGTGAATTGTGAAAGACGATTTATGAGCACGATTGGAGAGATCATTTCTTCCAAGAAAATTGGATTTGAGAAGAGGGCCTTGAAAGCTTGGGAGAGTTATGTTAGAAGCCATGTTTTACTACTGCAATCAACGGAGAGAGAGTGAGAAGAGAGAGAGAGAGAAGGAGAAGAATAAGAGAGAAATATCGACACTTTTAATGTGGCCATAAGAGACTCTTGTTGGGATATGTCCTATGATCCTATCTTCCCCATCTGTTTGATGTCTGTAGTATTATTGTCTTCATCTGTGATGTAGGCCAGCAAAACGACACGTGCCAAACACATGTACCCATAATTTCAATATACACACCTCATCACTCACAATATCCGTACTTGCTGCGTCGACTAAACATTTATTTCCTCATTACATCTCAATCATCTGTGAATAAACTAATTCGTAAATAATAATTTTTATATTTTGAAAAATCTTTAAAATTATAGAAAAATCTTAATAACCGACTATCAATTTCGGAGAAGTCTTAGGTACAACTGCACTATATGTCGAAGTGGGATTAGATGAGACGCTTATGTATCGGTCTCATTCATTTGTGAGTGTGTTGCTGTATAGGGCAGTCGAACCTAAGACTTTCTCCCAATATAGAGTGGCCAAAGGATTGGGCTCGTTGTGAGGCCCAAATAAAATTCAACGCAAAGAATTGGGCTCGTTGTGTGGCCCAAAAGTGATGGAAGTGTGCAAAATTTGGCAATGTGTTCCCTCCGGTTGGGCATGGCTGAACCTGACGTGGCAAACCAACGAGGCAACAAGTAACCCGGGAAACTGAACGAGGGTGATCTGGTCATTTCACATCAATCAGAAACCCCTTGGGTCCACCGTCCCCTCCGTCCCAAAACCCTCTCATATCAAACCGCCATTTTCCTCCGCTCTCTCTCGCCGGCAATCTGAACCGTCAGATTCCGATGAAATCGTTACCCACTCTCACCGTCGCTGGATTTCTATCTCGATTTCTTTCCAATTGTACCTTTTAATCAACAAAAACAAGTTTTTCATTTCTCAGCGGAAGTTAAACAACCATGGGGAAGAACTCTCGACAGAAGTGGACTCAGAAGCAGAGCAAGCACAGCTCAAACGACGCCGCATTAGACCACTCGGATTCAGAAGAGGAGATAGATATAGTTGACGAAGAAGTTAGCGAAGTAAAAACGAAAAAGAGCAGAAATGGTAAAGAAGAGAGCTCGGTTAGGGTTTCTAAGGATTCGCGCCCCGGTGAGAAGCGAAGACCGCGAGAGCGTGGCAATGGCGTCGAATATTCGGCTGAGGTCGAGCACACTGCTTCGAAGAGGAGAAGAGATAGTGAGAGGAAGGATGGGAAGGAGAAGGTTCCAGAAGTTCGTAGAGGAACGGAAGACACTGGTAATGTGACTGAATTCTCTGTGTGGGTGTTTTCCATTGTGCTTTGAGTTTTTGGATTTTTGAGTTTTTGCTGTTTCTGGTGATGATTGCAATGTAGTTTGAGGTTTTACTGCATCTTGATGAATTTTTTATTTTTATTTTATTCTTTTCCAACATTGCTGTTGATGATTTGTACACACATTTGAGTGCGGTCAAACTGATTGATATCATGCATCTGAAAAAGTATATATGTTTGAATTTGTAGAGATGCTTCTGAAACATGAGGTGCGAAATCCTGAGCTAAAGAAGGAGCTTGAGAAACATATTAGCAGGAGCAGGGATGGCTCTGTTGAGAAGGGAAAATATAAAGATTATGTGAGAGATGATAATGAAGATTCAGCTGAGGTCGAGTACATTGCTTTAAAGAGGAGAAAAGATATTAAGAGGATGAGGAAGGATGTGAAGGAGAAGGTTCCAGAGGTTGGACAAGGAATGGATGACACAGGTAATGTGATTGAATTCTCTTTGCGAGTGTTTACGCCATGCTTTGAATTTTTTATTTTTTATTTTAAATTTTAAATACTGTTATTGTTCCTATTAATGTTTACTGTACAATGTGAAATGTACTTTGAGGTCTTGATGCTTCTTAATAAGAATATAATTAATCTTTGAAAAGTTTCTTTTGATGATTTTTATACACATTGAGTGCACTCAACCTGATTGATATCGTGTATCTTTTTAAGTTTATATGTTTCACTTTGTAGAGAGGTATTTGAAAGATGAGGTGCGAAATCCCGAGTTAAAGGAGGAGCTTGAGAAACAAATTAGGAGGAACAGAGATGGCTCTGTTGACAAGGCAAAATATAAAGATTATGTAAGAGATGATAATGATAGTCGGCGGTCTTCAACGGGCAAGCATGCCAAGGATAGAAGATACATGGATGATGAAAATTATAAAGACAAGTATGGCGAAGATGCTGACAGAAGTTATAAGGTGAAGCACGGAGAAGACGGTGACAGAAGCTATAAGGTTAAGCACGGAGAAGACGGTGACAGAAGTTATAAGGTTAAGCACGGAGAAGACGGTGACAGAAGTTATAAGGTTAAGCACGGAGAAGACGGTGACAGAAGTTATAAGGTTGAGTATGGAGAAGATGGTGGCAGAAGTTATAGGGTTAAACATGGAGAAGATGCAGAGAGAAGTTATAAGGATAAGTATGGAGAAGATGGTGCCAGAATTTATAAGGTCAAGTATGGAGAAGATGGTGATAGAAGTTATAAGTATGGAGAAGATGGTGACAGAAGTTATAAGGATAAGGATGGAGAAGATGTTGGCAGAAGTTATAAGGTAAAACATGAAGAATATGGTGACAGAAGTTATAAGGATAAGGATGGAGAAGATGCTGACAGAAGTTATAAGGTAAAGCATGGAGAAGATGGTTGTGACAGAAGTTATAAAGATAAGTATGGAGAAGATGGTGACAGAAGTTATAAGGTCAAGTATGGAAGAGATGGTGGCAGAAGTTACAAGGATGGATATGGAGAAGATGCTGACAGAGATAGGAGGCACAGGGATAGCAAGCCTAAGGAAGATGTTGATTGGAAGAAAACACACTGGGAAGACAGGCACAAGGATGAGCCTGCCTTAATAGATCACAATGGTGACAGGTCAGGTACTAAGTACACAAGGGATAAAAGTAATGCTGGTGGAATTCAATATAAGAAATCAAGATTTGATAGTCGTAATTATGACGACGGTCAAAACACTAGATACAGTGATGATAGGGGAAAGAGAGATGATGATAAAGAGGACCAAATCTACAGTAGGTGCCTAAGTACCAGGGAACATGCTGATGCAGAAAAGAAAATTACAGGCAGAGGCATGGTAAAGTCTGTTGATGATAAAGAAGATTCTCACAAATGCTGTGTTGATGCAGACTTTAATGCAAGTCGTAAAAGACAGATTAGTTTCCCTAGCTCCTATTCTCATGTTGCGAAAGACCAATGCAGGTAATTGTTTTTCTTCTTATTTTATGTTCTCATCATGTGGTAAGGACTTTTAGAGAATGCAGTCTTGTATTGTACTCATGAATGCAGCAAGTGTTGTTATGTTCAAATGAATTTTGTGTGTGCATCTTTTGTCTGCTTGCTGCAGCAAGCATTGTTTTTGCTTAGGAAAGGCATTTGTTGTTCAGTGTTGAATGGTTATGCATGTTTCAGTGCCTAGTTGTAGCGGTTTTTGGAATGAATGGTATTGTGCCAATAATTATCTGTTTCAAAAATGGACTTTGTAGACCATACTGATAAGTGACATGAAGATGAATGAGTTGTATATGGATGTCAGGCATTAATCCTCTATGATGAAGGGAAATATTGAACAATGGGACATGCTGAAACTTTTCTAATTCAGTCAAATTAGCTTGTGACTACTTTTATGTGCTCTTTACAATTTTAAGTAGTAATTTGCATATAGGGACTTGGAGTTTGTCTAGATATGTCATAACGATCTTATGGTTGCTAGTGCTTCCCTTTTTTTTCTTTTTTCTTTTTTTTTCTTTTGGTCATTTGGTTTGACAAGAAGCAATCACTGTCAAAATATTTGTGCTCTAATGAATGTCCTTGTGGACCTTCTTTAGGCACTCAAGGGAAGCAGAATTGATGTCTGGTGACTCTGAACCTCAAGAAAGGGTTAGGCATAGTCTCCATTTTAAGGAGGTTGCAGATGTTTGTGGAGTACTCAAACAGTCTTCTTTGTCTAAGCCTACCAATAGACTGATTGACAAGGATGACAGCCATTTAGGTGACTCATCCGCTGAAAGGTGCTTGAATCCTGATGCCTGTGCTTCTGCTGTGCATCTAGTTGATGATTCTAAGTTTACCACACGGTATTAAGGGGAGTTTTGATAGTAAAGAATTTGGAAAGAGGAGTGGTGTTACCAAGGACAGAGACTCGTCTGGTACTGAAGGCAAAGGAAATTTGCAGCCGCCTTCAGAGACACCTCCTACAGGTGAGTTATCCCGTGAAGATATTGATGGTTTCTCTTCTTTATCTTCTGTCAAAGCTGATCAATTGCCTAGCAACTCATGGTCCAATTTTCCTCCACCTCGCCATCGATACAAGAGAAATAATAGTTCCTTTGTTGGACGAATGTATGGTAATGCCAGGAACGGTGCTCCAGTTAATGCCAGGAGTGCTGTTCCAAATCGGCCTTCTCCAGTAATGAACAGCTTCACTCATTTCCGTCATGGTCCTCCCCCTGTTGGTTTACATCCAGTTATGCATCAGTTTTCTGCTTTGCCAATGTATGGTGTCAGATCTGTGATGGATATACGCCCTTTATTTCCCCATCATATCCATGATGCTGACAGGTTCATCAGGCAAGACCATTCACTTGGGTGGCAGAATCCTATTGATGGCTCTCAGCCTCTTCCATTGTATGCGTGGGATGAAATTAACAGTGTTGCCCAGACTAATTCTCTAGCATATGGGAGGCTTGACTGGAACCATAATAGAGAACCAATTGATGGCCAGCGGTTGGAAATAAGAACAGATATGTGGAAGGGCCCACATGATGGTGTGAATCCAGAGTTGCCTTCTGTACTTCAGGCAAAGGATCCTGCAGTACGTACACAAGAGGATGAAATTTGGTTAAGAGCATCAAGTCTGCAAGTTCAAAATGAAGAGAACCAGTGTGATGATCTTGTGGACAAGAGTCAGAAGATTGAAATTGGTCAAAACAGTGATGCTTTAGCAAAGGAACCACCTAAACCATCCAACAGTATTGCTGAACAATTACCTGAACTTTCTAAGATATCCAAGGATGATGATGATTGTCTTTGGCTGGTGTATCTTTCTAAGCTTGATATTTCGGCAGAGCTTACTCATCCAGAGTTATATAATCAATGCCTAAAACTAATGGATGGAGAACAGAGTCAAAATGTTGATGAAGATTCTTTGAAGCTTCTCTATCTGGAGGTAAAATTTATAATTGGATCATGTGGTTTATCTACTATAATGTTACTTTTCGAATCATAATGGTATTTTCTTTGGTTTACAGGAGGTTGTAAAAACCCAAGTGGAGCTTTCCAAACTTGCCTCGAGTGCTTCTCTTTTTGTTTCCATAAATGATTGTGTTTTTCAGGTATGAACATGGTCAGACGTTATATAATTAGTACCAAGTTACCAACATAAAGTGATGTAGAAATTTGGACCCTTTCATGATTATGTTATAAAAATACAACAATTTTTTAAGTATTGGTATTTGGTTTTGCGATAGCCTAATATATGGGTTTAACACTTCTGATTTGTGATTATTTTGTAGAGAGCCATGTCCTTTTACAAGCAGCAGAAAGAAGAAACGAGGGCCATACCTCTCCCCTCATTATTCAACAAACAGAAGGCATCATTTTGTAGCGCAAAGAACATGGATTTTGTTCCGAATTGTGCCCGAGAGAAGCAAACAGAGCCAATTTCATCTTCCAATGGGTCCAAACCAGAGCAGTTGCTTCCTGCTTGTTCTGCCCCCTATAAGAAAGTATATGAGTTTGTTTCTGTTGTCGGTTTGGATGCTTCAAATGGCTGTATCAACAACAATTGTCCTACTATCAACCATGCGTCGCAATCTGCTCCTGGCTCACCTGGTCACCTGAGCAGAGCCGGTGACTCCGGAGGCGGTGAACATTCTGCTGGTAGCGCGGATGATTGGATGTTAGTTGATACTAGGTGTGATCATATACCATTTTCAAAAGTGCCTGATGAGGGTGTGATGGGTCACTCAATTGGGTCTGGGTCAGTGAATGTAAGTCGGATACATGCTGCTTTTGAAAGTACACTGAAACATTTTTTACTTTTCTCCGATCAAAATTATGCCTTCTCTTTAACCTATGATTTGTGGTTGCTGCCTTTGTTTGCTTCATTCAGTCTGGTGCTCTTTTTTGTTATCACGTTTCTACGTTGCATGAATAGTCTAGGTGCCTGGATCATCAAACTGTTTAGGTTCATATTTATTTATGAAATAGGAAGCCAATCCTTTATTACAATTTAACAAATAAATATAATTTCAATTTTATTTTAAATGTTTTTAAATAACTCTAATCTTCGTAAAAATAATCATTGAGATATTTAAATCTGAGGTTTCTATGTTCATCATTTTCTCTCATATTAGTGGCGGATCGGTCAAGGGGAGAGTGAAGGCTATGCCTAGCCCCCACTCTGTCCTTGTACTTATGAAGTCCCGCATAATGGACAAATCGTAAACAATTGTGAATTGTATTATTCTGTGCTCCACTATGAACACGAAAAATTATTGGATCCGCCATGGGAGACTATTGTTATGATTGTCAACAGTCAGCAGCGCCACATGATTCAGTTGTCAATGATCAGCAATGGTTTGTGCATGTCCACCTTGGAGCTTGTTCCACGGTACAGTCAGTTCAGTCATCTACAACTCGAACGAACCCATGTTCCACCACACATAGGACAGAGCAGTAAGCCCAGTGGCTGATCCACCAATTCTCACGCCCAGTTTGATTAGTCCGCCGCTACGCAAACAATGCAAATAAGAGTAGAAAATAAGATCCAAAGGAACCATAAACTATAAGATGAGATAAAAACATGGAGGTCTTCAGAACATGGTACCCGCAAGCTGCTGAAGATTATATCATAAAGTATCTTAAGAAAGATAGAGAGACCACGAGCCTGGAGCTGGGGTCGATTAAATTTTATAAGCTTATTAGTTGAAAGCAAAATAAAATACATAAATATATATAATTATTATTATTTTAGTTCATTTTTTTTAGCAAAATAAAAATGTAAAAGGGATGGAGGAAACTCGCTTGAGAGTCTTTTTAGGGCCAGTTTGGCATTGTTGTGCTGTAACAATAATCGTTATCAGATTTGCTGTGAGAGAAATCAGCTATAAGAGAAAGCAGTTTGGCGTTTGATAAAATTTTTGTTAAAAGTGTTGTTGGCATTAATTTCCGCAAAATCAGAAAATGATTGCCGCATAATCATTAAACCCAACGCCTCTTCGAAACTGCATAATCAGAAAATGAAAGCACCTCATTAGCTGCTTTCTCTTATAGCTTTCTCTCACAGCAATTTTTAACAATAAGTGATTTTCTCACAGTTTACTTATTACCCCAAATTTTTTTAAAAATCACTTATTACCCCAAATAAGCAATGCCAAACGGGCACTTAATCTTGGCATTGGAATCGATTCTCTTTATTGTAGTTGGAGGAGAAGATGCTCCATCTCCCTCATTTCTTATTGCACCCTCTTTGGTTGATGATCAATTTTATTATAGGCACTTACGCAGTTTCCTCATATCATATATAGATATTAAATGTTTGTTTCGAGTTATTGAAGAATGTTTTTCATTACATAATGAAAAATTTCATGGAGCGATGAGGGAATGTTTTGATATCCACATTGAAGATTGTGTTCGAAAGCCAAACATTTAAGAGATTTGGTATGAACCGTCTTTACTTTGCTCTCTTTTCATTTGCAAAGTTGAACACGCAAAACATATAAACCTGCATAGATTTCGATACATCATATATCTATGGGTGGTGCTAGAGGCACCAACTTTGGGCACCACCTTGGGCACCAACTCTCTAATAGAGGTGGAGCCCGCCAATACAACAGGTCCCATGCTCTATTAGAGAGTTGGTGCTCAAGGTGGTGTCCAAAGTTGGTGCCTCTAGCATTTTCCATTATATAAAGCTTATGAAAATGTCGGGGATGGAATTTGTAAGGTTTCAAGTAGGGGGTGGCAATTTCTGATACGACCCATTACATGACTCGAAACCCGCACGGAAAAAACACGACACGAACCCGCACGATTAAAAAACAGGTCATTTTCAATTTTTTTATTTTATTTCATTCAATTCACGTACTCTGATTCGGAAATATTCTTTATTCTAGAATCGGGTCGTGACATGATAAATTTTGGGAGAGAGTGAGGGAGGAAGGAGGTGAAGAGAGGGTTGGGGAGGGGGAGGGAGAGAGGAGGGAGGCGATGGAGTGGTGAATTTGGGTGGTTGATTAGTGGTTTGATGCTCTGTGGATTGGTGGGTGGGATGGAAATGGTGGATATTGTCGATGAGTGTTTTTCTTTTTTTTTTGGGTAAATACGGAGCTGTCATAAGCAAACATGGAGAGGGCCAGAACCACATACATGTGGGTGTGAAGCATCCACTAGGACAGCACAAGGAAACATAAATACTTTAATAAACAAGACAATCACAATAACTTCAGAAGGACGAAAATCCATCAGCAGGGATGTCATCACCATTGCCAACCCTCCACTGTAAACCTTTAGGAAGAATCTGAGCACCAAATAAAATTCCTCTCCAAGTATTAGAATAATTAATATGAGCAGACTTATTAAAGTTCAAAATACTTTGATTCTTGAGGTATTTTCGATTCAGAATATGACTCCAGAGGCCTTGGTCTCTTTGCAAAAGCTTCCATCCAGATTTAGCGAGCAACGCTTGGTTCATCAAGTGGGTTTGTTCTTGAGTAATACTACACTTATCACATTTTATCCCACATTTCTATACCACATGATGTGGCATGTTCATGTCATATGTCACATCAATTAAATCAATGAAGTGTATTTTAATAAAAAAAAGTTTAATTAACAGTTTTTTTATAGAGATTTTCTATTTAAACCCCACACTTCTCTTAGTTCACCCAATGTTTTAAGTTCACCCCATCTTTTAATTTAAAATTTCACAATTTCTAAGAAAACCCCACTATCTTCCCAAACTACCCTTAAATATACACCAAACTGAAAAAGTAAGAAATAAAAGAGATTTTCTATTTAAACCCCACAATTTTCTTTGTTCCCAGCAAAAAAAAAAAACACAAATAAATAGAACCCTAAACCCGAAATTTAGTACTTTCTAGAGAAAGAGAACAACTTTACCTCTCTCCAAGAACTGTAACTGGAATTCCAACACTTGAATATTGTTGAGTTAATAATCAACAAGTCTTTCCATCAACTCCCATGCATATTTAAAGAGGTAGGCTCGTCAATTTTTTATGTCTTTAAAAGATAAGAGTAATATGGCAATAGGATGTAGGGGAGTTTGTATTTTTCTAAAACTTGATATAAAGAGTGGTGGGGTGTGTGGGGTGTGAGGTGTGTGTATAGATGTACTAGGGTTAATTATTAAGTTGGATGACCTTTTTTGTCTTTTTACACAATAATAAAACTTACAGCTTAATGATTTAAGTATTGGGGTGAACAAAAATAAGTGCGGAGTTTAAATAGAAAATCTATTTTTTTAAGTGTTCATAAATCATAAAAGAAAAAAAAAATCAAATAATTTTAATTGATATAGCTGACCACCTCATAAGCCACATAAGGTGGTATGAGAATGTGATAAGATTAACATTATTCTTTTTTCTTTTTCTTTTTAGTTTTAAAAAATCTATTTAATTTTAAAATAAATAATTTTTTATTATCAATTTTTAGGTCTATCTCGAATTCACATCACTAAAAAAAACCACTTGGGAAAGGCCAAGCGAAACTTAACAGATTGATTAACAATCCAACTAACACCGGGAGTTATTCGTAGGTTTTTCATGAGTTCAAGTATCTACGTGCAAAATTTTAATTTTTTGGTACTAATTTGAAACAACTTCCAAAGTTTAAATACTTTTATGTAGGTAACCTTTAAATTTTTATAAGTTAAAATAAGATTTTAGGATCTTCAGTGCAAAGAAAATGTCACAAGGATACCTTAAATCTAGTGAGTAACCTAATCCAATCCAATCATAGGCACCAAACGAGCATGAGACGGCTGAGTGAGAACTAATTTCATGGTATAAGAAAAGACGGATGAAATGAAAAGAGATCTAATGTGAGAAACGGTTGAGACTTGGATCTGCAAAAGGAAAGAGATCAGATGTCTAATAAACACACGTGAATAGATCTAATTCTACTGGTGTGAAGAGACTAGTCATGAACTTCCAGAAGCAACCGTACTTGCCATCAAGAAAGCATGAGTTCCGATATGGAAATTCATCAATGAAAATGAGATATGATCTGCAAAATCAGATCTTCAGATGTACAGCACTGAAACAAAGGGTATATGGATCAGACACAGAATCCAGAGGTAGAATCCTCTTGTTCTTGACCACTTTTTATATTTGTTTTCACTGGTAACTGATACCGTTGATGGAAGTCCTACCAGTGGGGGGAGTGAGAGAGGGGATGGATAAGAAGAAACCTGAAGTAGGCCTGAAAATTTTAATTGGTCTTTTTAATTAAGAAGGAATAAAAGTAATGCCAAATTTCACTTTTAGCAACACTAGATAGGCATCGGTAAAGAGGGAAATCGATGCTACTAGTAGATTAGGCATCAATTTCATAAATAACGATACTAAACAGATATAAAGACATCAGCGCATATTTTTGTTTATTTACGACGATGCCTTTATTCCCCTTTAGCATCATCTACATAAATACAGATGCCTAAAATGATTAGTTTTTATTTTATTTTTAAGAGGTTCATTTTTTGGTGATATACCTCTGATGCCTAAAGTCTGAGTCAACGCCCTAACCCAAAATTTTTACTCTCCCTCGCAAACTCTCTCTGAAACTTCAGCTCCCTCTCAAACTCTAGCCCCAATTCTTCTAACTCCCTCTCAATTTTTTCACTCCCTCTGAACCTGTACCCTAAAAATTCATCTCCTGAACAAAACTCTCCTTCAGTCCCTCTGAAACTCTCTCTTTCTTCTCTCTCCTCCATCACTGCGCCATTCCTGCTAAAACCCTCAGATGCTCAACCATTACGATTCACAATGAGAATCATTCTTCCATTCGATGATTCTGAAGCCAGCTCACACAATTTCTCAAGCTCAGACGCTCAGACGGAAGTTTAAGTCGACGATTGTGTGATTTCATCTCTCAATGAAGCATTTCCCTTTCCCCCAAAAGTTAGGGTTTTGATCACACCCCACACCTCCTCTTATGGTAAGCTTTTCTTCTCTCTTCACAACTAAAATTTAAGCTTAAACATTCTTTCTCTCAATTTTGGGAAAATCTTCAAATTTTTTGGAGTTGCAGAGCCGTAACTTTTAGAAAATGCGAGAACTGTGGAATTTTTTTATGTAATTGTTGTTGTTACATCTTCCTAAGCAAGCATCTGCTACTAATTTGTCTTGTTGGGTTGGAAAGTATAAAATTGTCTAGAGATCTAAAAAGCTACTAGTGGCTGCTTGTTGTAATATCTTTCTGTATCTTTTTCTGGTTTCGTTTCGTACTTTGTTGGTTTGTAGAGTTTCTCTGTTTTGTGTCTTTTGGGAGGGAGGCTTAGAGCTTTTTTGGTCTCAATCATTTTTGTTCCCACTTGTGTAATGCTTTTGTCCTCTCAGGTTTCCATAAACTTTTTAGAGTTAATATTCCATAAACTTTCTCTGTTTTGTGTGTTTTGTGAGGGGGGTTTATAGGTTGATTTTTTGTAGTCTGTAACTTGACGTTTTTAGAAAACCATCAGGGAAACTGAGGCAGTTGTATATGGAGTATCTGCATGTGCCACACTTTATCCTAAAATCTCTCACACTCCTAGATCTAGATATGATGCTAGCGCATTGTTTTTCTTCTTTCTTTTAAGTTCTTCCTTTTGCCTCTCTCTTGTTCTCCCAGATCTAGATCTGATGCTACGCAGCCACCATCTTCCTAGAACTCTGCTTTACTCTCAACGACTCTGCAAAGAAGTATCCAAATAATCCAATACTTGGTTGGCCACTCTCTTGACCCTCTCTGTTCTTTTGTGTTAGATGTGCAATTTTTAATGTCAGTCTTGATATTTTTTGTTCGTTGCAGGTATTGATCTCCATCACTTAGAGCACCAGCATCCCTCCACCTCTAGGTTGCTCACCCTCATTTAGGAAAAATGTGGTATTGATTTTTCTTGGTTTATTTCTCTTTCTCTCTATATTATCAAATCTTGGGGGTTAATTTTTTGGGTTTTTGCTTTGTTCATTTTGGGTTTGTAGTGGGATCATTTCTTTCTCGATATATATTCCAACAATTTTCTGGAATCATATATATTCCAACTATCTTTGCTCTAACGCTTTAATATAAAAATTTCAGGTTCTAGCACATACAATAGTATCCGTTGTCGTGGCTGCAGTAATTGATCTGCAATTGTATTTCAGGTTCTAACACTTACACCAATATGAAATTTTGGTTCTGATTTGAGATATTGGCATGGTATTTGTTAAAGCCTAATTGATGTTTGATTTTAATTATTTTTCTACAGACAGTTGGTAGGAAAGCGTTGAGATGGGTATTAGTGAGCCTTGGATTACTAAAGCATTGAAGATGGAATTTCATCTCATTGGATCGTCCCCAAGAGTAGCCTCAAGAGTAACATATAATTACTAGATAGCTTAGTTCATTTCATTATGTTTTGTTTGCATTGTAAATGTGTTTTTAAAGTATAACATTTATTGTATATTAAATTAGTCTATCTAACTATATTATAATGGATGTAGTGCAGGGTCATTGAGGTTTTTGGGAATACGGTCTTCATCGATGCTAGCTTAGTTTCTAATATGTTTAGTTTGTTATGTGTTGACAAGTGGTTTTGCTATTTTATAAGTATAATTTGTCAGTTTAGGTTTTGAATTGTTCTTTTATCTAAGATAGATCATTTATTAGTTTGGGTAGTTTGTTGGAAGTTGCAATGAAACTTAACTGTTGAAATTTCAGAAATGAGCTTCCTTTCTGTAGCGTTTTAAAAGTTCTCCTCTTCTTTCCCCCATTATTTACCAGAGTGAAGAGGGTAAAAATTTTGTTTAAGGTTTATGTCGTGGATCTTTTCCGACCTGTTTTTGTGTGTAATTTTGGCACTCTGTTTTCTATTATTATTTATATTAAAGCCCTATCACTGACAAAATATTATTTGAAAATGAATGTTTAGATGTTGGTATTTCAATATTGAGAAGATTTTTGTATCCAAAGGCACATTTGACAAAGGTAACCTCTGACCTCTGAGAAATATGCTTCTCATATGTTGACTACTCTGTTCAACCATCTAACAATCTGAGATGTTCTTGTGAAGAAAGAAGCCCACTGAAAGGAAGGCTTTGAAACTTGCAAAAAGAGTAATTCCTATTCACTTATTTTTATATTTACGTTCTTTTTTGTGTTTTTGGGTGGAAGAAGAGGGATGGAATTTTAACCTGCTTACACACATTAGTCCAACTTACAATATCGTAGGTCTGATCAGTACTTATCTCATTGTCTTTCATATGCTGACTGCAAAGGTTCACCATAATTTCTATTATTTAGGTGATTGCTTGTCTTGATGTGAGGACGAATGACAAAGGAGATCTTGTTGTAACCAAAGGCGACCAATATGATGTAAGAGAGCATACAAAAGAGAATGAGGTATTTCAATAATTCTTGACTCCTGCCTTAATTGATTTTGGTGATTTTTTTTCACAACAATGTGCCTCTGTTTTTTTGGTAGTTAGGTCTGTGTCAATTGAGAAAAAATGCTAGCTGTGCTTGTCCAACTCTCTACCCCATCACGTGATCATTTAATTGCTAGTTTAAATATGAAGTGGGATCCAATTAATGACTTCTTGTTATCTAATTAGATTGATTGACAAATTAGATTTTCTTCTTCACCAATATGATTTCGTAAATTTGCATATTGGTTCATTTGAAGTGACAACATATCTTATGCAAATTTAGTACCTTGCACTTTTTAAGCTTATATTCATATTTTGTGTTTACATTCTATGTGTTTTTTTTTTTTCCAATATAGAGCTAGAAGGAAAGACACGTACACCCAAATGGAATTGGATGAGGTGCGAGAAGAATTAGCAAGTCATGTCCTAGAATGGCTTTTTGATTAAGCTAAACATTCCTTCATTTTACATTGCTTTCTAGCTAGTATTTTGCTTATGCATAGACAAGTATGGATAATTTGTGGTGTAGGGCTGGTAAATTTGTGATTTGGATGTGACAAGTATGGATCATTCAAGTATTTTGCTTATATATATATAGAAAATTATGGATATATTTAAATTACTGTTGATATAATGTTTTTTTTTAATGAGTAATGGCAACACAACATGATTTGGAAATGAGGCCTTTCTTAAATACTATTACTGTAACTAAGTAAAGTGTGATGTGAAATAAGCAAAATACCTACCCTTTCCTTACATTAATAATGCCTATTGTTTATAACAACTTCAGTTTTCCAGAAATAACTGAAGTTGAAAGATAGAAACAACAGCTAGACATCCATTATCACTGATGCTTAAAACGAGAAGCAGCATCAACATTTAACCACCAGCACTATTGGAGGCTTTTCACGTCCGCAAAATAAAAAAAGCGATGATGTATAACATAATTCACAACACCATTATTTGTTTCTATGATGTTGTAATTGATAATATGCATCAGTATAGTAGATATCACTGATGCTGTTACAGCTCTTTAGCCTCCTCTCTTTTGAAAGTACTGATTCTGTTTTGGGTTTAGGAGTCGGAAGTCAACCTTTTTTTGGCACCCGGAAATCATTTAGGCATCGGAGTTTACTTGATATCCGATGTAGTAAGTGATAAACAGTGACAGAGAATATCCGTTGCCTATTACATAGGAATAGGCAACAGTCACCAATACCACGGTATTTATGTGTAATAGGCAACGGATTTTATCCGTTGCTAAAGCCCTTTTTTGGCATAGTACCTAGCTAACTCATTAAGTACTTAACTACCGTGGCATGTCCAAGTCAGCTGCCACATAAGGTAGTTTAAAAATATGGCATAAGATTGTGGTATGTCTAGCATTTTTTCACAGGATTTCACCAAAAAATATTATGATTTCACCAAAAAAATCCAAAATTTATTCTTTTTATTATTATCACAGGATTCCAAATAACAGTCAGAAGCATTTTTTCTTCATGGCATTTGCACAGTTCATGAAAGTTTACCCCAACTACCTAGTTTTCAGACCCATAAATGAATTGAACCAGAAAAAGTTGTCAACTCCCATCAAGTTAACCTTGTAGGCACAAGACTAGCATGGCAACAGATTCTACCAAGATCTTCACTTTCCAAAGTTGAAAAGAGGTCTAATTCTTCTTGCAAAGATGCCATTCGGATGTGGAACATCTGTTGTTTTTTACATTCTAACAGTCCCCTAACATGTCAGCCTTTCCGCCTCTAGAGGACCAAACACGTAGAATTAATTCAACATACATTGAAAGTTTCCAGATGCATGGATCTGAATTCAGCATCTTCAGCTCTAATAAAATAATAAGTTACATTGGTTAACTACTCTTCCTAAAGTCTAAAGCTAATAGGACGTAGACAGACTATAATTTGCATATTCTACTAATCATAATGTGAAATTGAAACCACGACTCCAAGACGCCTCCTCATTACACCGTGAGGCATAGTTACATTCACGCTTTTGGGGATGATGATCCTTTCTGGAAAGTTTGTATGGAAATTGAAGATTCCTCCTAAACTGCACTTCTTTTTCTAGCTTGCTTATCAGGGGAAAATACTATCTAATGAGCAAAGAGTTAAGGGGAATCTAGATGTGGATTCTTCTTGTCAAATTTCATGTCGGCCTGGAGGTATGGGATACTGTTTTGAGTCTTCACTCACCTGCACACTTCTTCCTCTCTGAGCCTAAGCCTTGGCTCTTAAGTAATTTGCTTTCCAAGGTTAAAGGCCCTGATGGTATTGGTTTGGGTATCCTTTTTGCCTTCACATGTTGGTACCTGTGGAAATGGCGAAATAAGCAAGCTTTTAGTAAAGAGGAAGGTTTGCCTTCTAATTCTAGAGATGTTATTTATGCTGCTGTTGTTGAGTGGGTTAATTCTATTTCTATCCCTGGCCAGAAGCTTGATAGAATGCATATATTTCTTGCCTGGGATCCTCCTATAGTTTGCTAATTTAAACTCAATGTGGATGGTTCTAGGAGGACTGCCACTAGTCTTATTGGAGCAGGAGGTGTCCTTCGTGATTCCTAAGGTGACTGGATTGCTGGTTTTTCTGTGAATTTGGGTAAGGAGCAAATTTTGGAGGCTGAGATATGGGGGCTGTATTTTGGGCTGAAGCTTGCTGTCGAGAAAGGTATTTCTAACCTTGCTATAGAGATGGATGCTGCTGTTGCTATTTCTCTCATCTAGCAAGTCTATTTCTTGCAATGTCATCCACTTGCTGCCTTGATGCATAGTTGCTGTAGTCACATGAGGCAGATTGGCACATGTCAACTTGCTCATATCTACAGAGAAAAAATTGTGTTGCGACTGTATGGCCATAACTGGAGTTACAACTTAGACCTGGGGGTTTGCTATTTTGAGGAGGCCCCTGCCTGGGTTAGTTCATTCTTGGTGGATGATTTGTTAGGTCTTGCTAGACCTCGATGTGTGGTGGTTAGGTATTGTTCTTGGGGTTTTCCCCCCATTTTATCCAAAAAATAAAAATAAAAATCGATAGCCATGAGCATAATGCGAAGAAGAAGTATCAACACATAATTGAATAGTGAAATGAGCATACTTCAAAACACAAAACTGGGTCTTAGAAAAGCTTAATTTCTCAAGAAACAAGATTCAGCTCCAAAGTGATTGAAAACAACATTTATCCTAATTTTAAAACTTCCCCACCTTCTTTGTGATATTGAAACAGAAAACCAACTCCCACAGAACATATAAATCCAGCCTATTTTTCACCACCTACAAACTGGAATAAAACAACCACATATGCACTTGTAATTTGTAAACCCAGAGAAAGAAAAAAAAAAAAAAGAGCTCACTTTAGAAGAACATTAAGAGCACCTCCACCCATGTAGGCTAAGGCAAGGCTAAGGCAAGGCAAGGGCTGCCACTATTCATGTGAATAGTGCCAGCCTTGCCTTAGTTGGTTCCACCCTTGGAAGGCTAGGGCAAGGGCAAGAAAAAAAAAAAGATTATGCAACAAAATATAAACAATTTAGAAAGTGAATAAAATTGTTATGTATTTATAGGGAAAATATCTATAATTTTTTGGTATTTAAAAAAAAAAATTGAAAATTTTTTGTATTTTTTTTACTCGCTGATGTCAGCATAACATCAGCGTTGACGTCAGCGCCTTCGGGCTGCAGCCCAGGCAAGATCTGCCTGTGGGCTTGCCCAGTTCGATGGGACCCACAATTTGCTCGGTCTATTTTTCTTCCGCTGGAGCTGTCTTGGGCTGCCTTGGGGGGCCTTTTGCCCAGTCTTGGGTAAAGGCTGGAGGTGCTCTAAATGGGTCATCCAGATTCAATAGAGTCAATAACAAAAAAAAAAAAAAAAGGGAAAATGGAGGAAAACCTCCTTGGACTATTTCTGACTGTCGAAATGTCCACATGAATTTTTTTTTTTCAACCAATTTGGCCCTCAGATTATTTTAAAGGGTCAATTTAGCCCCTGCCGTTAGTTTTCATACAATTTCATCCAATTTTCTGTATAAATGTCACGTGTTAGGCACGTGACTCAGTATTCAATTAAAATTTATTTATTTTAAGTTTAAAATAATTAAATTGTTAAAGCTCACGCCCTCAACCTAACCTAGGCCTTCTTCAAACCTATCTCCTGCGCCGCCTCTCCCTCCTCCACCAAGCGCCACACCAAGATCTCTGCCATTGGCGCCGGCAACGTGGGCATGGCCATCGCCCAGACCATCCTTACCCAGGACCTCGCCGACGAGCTCGTCCTCGTCAGGGCCAAACCAGAGAAGCTCCGCGGCGAGATGCTCGACCTCCAGCACGCCACTGCCTTCCTCCACCGCACCAAGATCATAGCCGACGTCGACTACGCCGTCACCGTCGGATCCGACCTCTGCATCTTCACAACCGGGGGCCACCAGATCCCCAGCGAGTCCAGGCTCAACCTGTTCATGGATTTTTTTCCCTTCTAAATTAATTGGGTTTTCGACTTGGGGGTTTCAAATTGTCAAAGAATTATGATGGTCAAAGAAAAGCATTAATACCAAGCTAAATCAGTAATACAAATATTGGGATTTTCGGCCAGCTAAGCCTGGCAGCCTTCTACATTGTTCTGCTCCTCACTCTCTCTCTTCACGTGTAACATGCGGAGATAGATAAGATAAGGAGGGGGTATATGAACACCACAAGATCATATACCCAGCAATCGGGTTGTCAGGTCGGGTACCAATTTGGACTCTTCGCGGTTTCGATTCCTCATTGTTGATCATCTTGATGTCAACGCTCAGGATATGCATATGGGTTTTGATATGAAATTTCTCAGATTTTATCAATTTTGGATAAAACATGGTTCTGTTTTTTCGTTTAGGGAAGAGAGGGATGAAGAAGACTGGTAATAGGTTTATTTTGGACCAAAAGATTTAAGTTTAGCATGTTTTTTGTTTTTACATTTTTTTAATTTTTTTAAATATTTTACTTTGTAAAATGACAAACTTACCCTTATAATTGACGGAAAATTGGATGGAAGTGTAGAAACTTGACAGTAGGTGTTAAATTGGCGATAAAATTTAGTATAAGGGCTAAATTGGTTGAAAAAAAAATTCAGGGTGGACATTTTGACAGTCCAAATAGTCCAGGGGGTTTTCCGCCATTTACCAAAAATAAAAAAAATAAAAAATTAGGTATTAAACATAATTAACTTTATTAATTAGTATTTGAGACATTTGGTATTTTAGTTTGGGTTTTAATATTTATAAAAGAATTGTTATTTTGGATAAGGCCAAAGAGGAGGCTCAGATTCGTTGACCCACCTTATATTAATCACTGAAAAGACAATTATACCCTGTTTATTAAAATATTTATTGGTCTCCCTTTTTGATCGGATTAGATCTCTCTCTCTCTCTCTCTCTCTCCACAGCAACAACGACTACAGCCTTCACTTGCGACTGCGATGGAATTCTCAAGCTGCTCATCCCTTCGGCCTTCACCGGTAACTCCAAGGTCTTCTAGCTCAAGATGAAGAGCGATTACGATCGCTATCTTGCTGAGTTCAAGATCAAAGTATTTTTATGAGGTACTTGAGGAGGACATCCATCAAGTAATTGTCGAAAACCAGTTATTTGACAGGATGTAATTATACAGAAAATAACTTTTATCTTCGTTGAAATTATAGAATGTATATTAGAATTTACTGGAAAATTTTGAGATTCTCAACTCTTGGTTTCATTCTTGGACAAAATTTACCAATTTGTAAGATGAATAACCCATTTCTCTGTTTCTCATCTTGTCTTCATCAATCTTCACTATCATAATCCAATATTTTGAAATTTGTCATTATTTGTCAATTTGCATACTTGTCTTCATCAATCTTCACTATCATAATCCAATATTTTGAAATTTGTCATTATTTGTCAATTTGCATATTGAGAAAGACAGGCCCATCAACTATGCATTGATATTGATTAAGAGAACGATGCTTGACAATAAGAACAAAAAAATTTTGGTGGAAGATGATCCTACATGATTTTTGTACATAATATTTGGATTTATATTCGATTTGGGTATGATTGATTGTATTTGTCCGTAATATTTGGTATGGGGGTATGATCTTATGGTTAAATTTATTTATTTTTCTCCATGTCTTTGTCTTTTGTTTCTGCTTGCAGCATTATATTTCTTTATTTTTCAGTAGGTGAAATTTTATACAAGTTCTACATTGCAGTTTTGGAAACTACATTGCAGTTTTGGTAATTATAATTGGATTTTTGCACTTTCCTGGGCCTTCAACCTCACCAATTTGAAGAGTAGAGGCTACCCAGATGAGGATTTGGGTGGGCAAGAGAAGAGTAGAACTACCCAAGAGCAAGGGAACTCAAAATTGGACTTTTGGAAACTGGAAACTGCATTGCAGTTTTCATTTAATTACAATTTGATTTTTGTTCTTTCCTTAGCCTTGAACCTCACCAATTTGAAGAGTAAAGGCTACCCAGATGAGGAATTGGGTGGGCAAGAGAAGAGTAGAACTACCCAAAAGAAAGGGAACTCAAAATTGGACTTTTAGAAACTGGAAACTGCATTGCAGTTTTTATTTAATTACAATTTGATTTTTGTTCTTTCCTTAGCCTTCAACCTCACCAATTTGAAGAGTAGAGGCTACCCAGATGAGGAATTGGGTGGGCAAGAGAAGAGTAGAACTACCCAAGAGCAAGAGAACTCAAATTGGACTTTTGGAAACTGAAAACTGCATTGTAGTTTTGGAAACTGCATTGCAGTTTTCATTTAATTACAATTGTTTTTGTAGTTGTTTTCGTTTTCGTTTTTGTTTCTTTAACATAATTGATATCTACATTATATTTTTCGCTAAGATTAATTTAGTTTTTGTATTTATCATCAACAATTGTTTAATATATTCCACCTTCATGTGAGGTATAGTTCAGTTGGTTGAGCTCTTCCACCTCCACCCGCTCCAAACATTCAATGAATATTTTGTAAATCCCCTCATCCATTCGCTTATACTTCCAAAAAACAAAAAAAAGTTTGCACAAATACTGCCTGGATTATATGCAATACCAACTTTCGTTTGATAAATGTTAAAGAATAAAAAATGGTTTATGAAGAGAAACCGGCCAAGCCAAATTTATCACTAAAAGTATTAATTTTCAACTATCATTTATAATTGAGATTTTTGTGATTAGAATATAATGCGGTGGGCGGTATGATTTATCACAGAGACTTTTGTCGTTTCTTATTGAAAGACGAAACAGCCCAGAAATGAATTTAAAAAGTTTTGAATCCATGCGGAGTGAAATCAGCATAAATTGAATGCCAAAAGTTTCTTTGTAGGTGGAAACGAAAGTTTAGGGGGTAATATTTATGCAGACTTGCCATTTCCATTCAATTGCATGTTGTAAATATCTCAAAAATGGTGGCTACAAGGTTTGCTTAACTGCCCGCACAGTTGGCTTGGTGGACTATCGAAAATAGCATCCAATGTGCACTATCGAAAGTGGACATGTGGCATAGTATGCTTGCTTTAGAATGAGTGGCATTGTGTGTAATTTTGGTAATTTTTAATGATATTTTTGTAAAATTAAGTACTACATTTTGGTCTTTGGCGTTATGCTAATTAGATGAAATTGTATTTCTATCTTCCAAATTAGTAAACTATATTGTGTTTTAAAACTAAAGCTCCCAAAAAAAAAAATCACATATTGTAAGCTTCAAAATGCAAATTAGACCACAATTCCAATCCCAACTAATCAATAATACGACCAATACAAATATGAATATAACAAATAAATATTTTTCTTCTACTTCCCCAATTGCGATTAGAAATCACTGAAAAAATTAAAAATAAATCCAACGAAAAAAAAACCAAGATAAAAAAAGCAATAAAGGATGAACTATACAGCTAGCAGAGTTTACCTAAACAGTAATCAATGAAAGCCTTAAAGTTTGCACAGAGTAAGAAGTAACCAAAATCGTTAAATCTGCACAAAATCAAAATTAAAATCAGTGGAAAAAGTAGAGGAGAGAGGAGAAAGGAGAGAAGAGGAGAGATTGAGGCAAACTAGAGAGGTAGATGAAGATCGTGAAACTGGAGAAGAAGACGAGAGCTCCAGAGCGTGAAAACGAAGACGTGCGTGTTTTGTTTTCGCGAGAGACGGGCTCGTTATTTTGGGCGGCCTTATTTAAGCACCGCCATTTAAATGGCGGATTCTTAGTGAGTTCTCAGTCGCGCATGGAACATAAAACAACCGAAAAGAAGCCAAGCGGGAGAGAGTACCGAAAAGAAGAGAAGCGAAGCGAGAGAGACGAAAATGGCGAGGAATTCAGGGGTTTTGATACGGCAGTCGCGCATAGAACCTAAAACAACCGAAAAGAAGCCAAGCGGGAGAGAGTACCGAAAAGAAGAGAAGCGAAGCGAGAGAGAGGAAAATGACGAGGAATTCAGGGGTTTTGATACGGCAGTTGCTTGGCAATCGCAACAACCCGTGTGCAGCAGGTCTTCTTCATCATCTTCACCAAAAACCCATCCAAAACCTAACTTCAGTACCAAATACCACACCATCTTCACCACATACAATTGATATCCGTTCGGCTTCCAAACCCTTCTCCAATTATTCCATTCACACCCCAAACCTTCAATTTTTGCAACAGAGACGATGCCTCTCCCCATCGTCACTCCCAGAGTCAGATTCAGATTCAAAACATTTACTTTCAGGTCCCTCAAACCTATTCGTCGTACAGGGCATGGCTGTGCATCAAGATGCAGTTGACAATGTTAAACGTATGCCAATTTCTCCACCAACCTCATCCCTTCTTAATTTTACAAATATTCAAAATAAGAAATTAAGCTTTGTTGTGGATTGTCTGCGGTTTTCTACTACACTGCACCCGGGTGCCGGGCTGGTAAGTTCTAACTTCTAATCAATGAATTTTCTTTCATCAATCAAGTGATTTGCAATAAATTGCTCTCTTCTTGTGCAGCCGTGGATAAGTCCCTTTTTTTTTTGTTTTTTGTTTGTTTTTTGAAATGCAGCGATTTGGGGAGGGGGGCACTTTTCCTGGGATTCGAAATGGTGAGTGAGTTGTTGAGCAATTCCAACATATAAAAATGTATAAGTTTTACATGGATAAGGTAACTTTCTGAAATTTAATAAATTACTGTAATTTCTTAAATTTTGAAGTGGTTTATGGTTTATTGGAAACAGTAGTTTGGTAACTTTCTTACTCCTAACATTGTTCTTACATGGTGAGAGATCCTGTGTCCTAGGGGCAGATGGTCACCTTGGCAACCAACTTAAGATCATTCTACCTCAACATGTCAAACTCGAGGTCGAGTTTTCTGCAACGAAGGGAGAATGATGCAGGAGCAAAGTTCAAGTTTAGTAAATGGGTATCTTTCTAGTTTCCTATGTAATAAACGCAATTTTCTAAGGTTTACTGTCTTTGAGTCTCCCTACGGGACACGATTAATGTATTAGGTGTAATAATTGTGTCTTTAAAATTCCCAAGTGTGTTAATGTGGATCTTTCAAGATTGATGTACCAATTACCCTATAAAAGGGGCTACTTTGTAAGCATAAAATCAGAGTTAGTGAAAAGAAAAAAAAAGTTCATATGAATTTTTGATTGTGTGTGAGGCACAGGTTGTCGTGGAGTGATTCCAAGGGACCTCCGGTGTGATGCCAGAATTTATCTAATTTCTCAACCGGAAACCTTTGGTGTGATACCAAAGGCCACAGTGAGTCCAGATCTCTCATTTCTTCCTATCTTCCCTCATTTTCCTACATCATGTTTTTTCCGGGTGAAAGATAATTTAATCGGGTGCATGATAAAACAAATGTCTTTTTCATTAGCTATGCATTATTTGCTTGCTCATGTCATGCATTTTTTCCCCCATACTCTAAATATGATCCGACATGTAGCTCCTCATAGAAGAATCATGATATTATTGTAATTCTTTATTAGGTTTATATACTCAAAACACATACCTTGATCCGACATTGTGATAATTACTGCTCTGGAACTTTGATTTGTTGCACTGGAAGGAATCTGGAATTCTGCAGTAGGCTCCTTGACTGGTTCACTGGTTTAGGCAGAATTGTAGTAGGGTAGTTTCTCTATGCTATACGGCTCTTGAATCTCTTCTTGATGGGGTAGAATGATATGAGAATATTATTTAGCCGTTAGCATAGGGACCTCCCTTTTATAGGTATAGTTTAAGTATCCTCCTCATCATGGATTACTTAAACTCCTTTAACCATAAGGATTAGGTATCTCAATCCATTTAGAGATAGGAAACCTTAAGCACTTGTATTTATCTAAAACAGTCATATATCAAGCCTTAAAATTAATCGATCCATGTAATCCTAATTGACATTGAACTAGTTATCCTTAAGTGATTAGAAGACCATCTTAGAGTTTGTATTAGAATGCAAATCTTACAATTATATGTTGTTGTGCCTCTAAATTAGTAGGCCTGACGTTGTTTATTGTATCTACAGAATGGCCCTAACTCATTGGACATATCGGGAGATCCTTACAAGAGGGTATATGATCCATTCCTTCTATTTTGTTTTTATCAGAAGGTTACTTTAATCAAACAGATAAGATCAATACATCATTATAGTTTATACTATTCTACATTTCACTTTTCATCTTAAATTGGTTGGGATTCAGGGGAAGATGTTGCCTTTTCTTTTGTAATAACAGTAGAAATATTGTTGGTGAATATATTTGACAGTCCATGATACTGAGAAGAGAAGTAATCAAAATTATGTTTTGAGAACTAGTTCATTGTCTTTGGAAAAAAAATGTTTTCTTTGATTGATATGATGTAGAGGAAGTTACTTTAATCAAACTGATATCATGAATGCATCACCATAGACAAGAAGTCCCCGTATACAACAATACAAATGTAGTCCCACAAATCCTGACAAATCTGAAGTGCTAACAATTTTAGACCTTTTGCATTCCAAATTTTGTTTTGTCTATACTACACTTCACCTTGCATCTTGACTGGATGCGTAGAATATGGTTGGGAAATATTGTTGGTGAATAGATTTTGACAGTCCATGATACTGAGAAGAAATTAAATTTTCTTCTTCTAGTTTCCCTGAACAGTTGAAATGAAATAAAAATGTATACTGCAACAGGACATAGAGGGTTTTATCCTATGCTTGTCTTCTTATTTGAGCTTTTTGTTCGGAGTGAAAGATAACTTAATCGGGTACATGATAAAACAAATGTCTTTTTCATTAGCGAAAAATGAGGCCCTGCTCGCTAAATGGCTTTGGAGGTACCGGAAGAGCATAATTCCATATGGCACAAGGTGATCAGGAGTAAATATTGTTCGGTTGAGAATAGATGGGATGCGGTTCACCCAGGAAGAGGTGCTTGTCGTAATCCCTGGAAGTATATCTCTTCGGGTTATCCTGCCTTTTTACAGTGTTGTGATCTGGTTGTGGGTAAGGGGAATTTGGTGTTGTTCTAGGATTTGTGGCTGGTCGAGGGTGCTTTGAAGAATTTTTTTCCTAGACTGTATGCGCTTTCTAGCAATCATTTTGGCTGCGTTTCTAGTTTTGTGGATTCTTATGTCCACCCCTATAATTGGAATTTCAGCTTCAGGAGAAATCTTGATGAGTTGTCTAGGTTTTCAGGAAAGGGTGCGTTTGTTTCAACACCGTGATGACCGTAGGAGCTGGAAGCTCGATAAGACGGGGTTGTTTTCTTGCAAATCCTACAATTTTTTTCTGCTCAACAGTGGCAGCAGGCAACTTTCACTGTTCTTGCCCCAGATTTGGAAGTCAAAGGTTCCCCCAAAAATTAAATTTCACGTATGGCTCCTGGCACTTGGGAAGCTTAATACTTGTGATCAAATCCAAAGGAGAAGGCCTTCCTTCTATCTTTCTCCTTTGTGGTGTGTTTTGTGTAAATCTCATTTGGAAAGCGTGGATCATGTGTTTCTTCATTGTCCTTTTTCTGGTGGAGTTTATTTAGGGAGTCCAGCTGGGTTATCCCTAAAGACTGTTTTGATTTCCTGTGTACTAAGTTTGAGGCTTTGGGTAGGGGGAAGAAAGCCACAACTTTATGGGAATGCTTGGTGTATGCTGGTTTTTGGAATATTTGGCTGGAGCGCAACAGAAGAATTTTTTATGATTGTCAGGAAGAAGGTGTCGAGGAAATCTCGAAGAAGGCTAGACATTGGGCTGCTCTTTGGGCTTCAGTTACCCCAGTTTTTAAGGATTATAACCCTTCTGTCATTATGTTGGATTTAGTGGCGGCTGTGAAATAAAGGGTGGAAACTTATGAGTGGTAAGTTATAAGGGGTTCACTTTATAGCCATCAGATCAATCTAAGGGCTAGGGAGAATTGAGATAAAGTTTTGCAATCGGGCAGGTGAGGAACCCAAACCCGAATTTAATATCCAGCATTGAAGTTGGTTCGAAAAATTAAAAAAAGAGGCAAGTTCGAAGTTTGAACAGAAAAAACCCATCGCTCTGAAACCCATAGCTCTGAGAAACTGCTAAGCTCTGAGAAAAGGTTGAAGGCAACTCTTAACGACGGTTGAAGGCAACGGTAAACGATAGTTGAAGGCAACGGTTGAACGCAACTCCTTTCTCTAAACCCTGAAAAAGTATTTATTTTGAGTGGAAGGGGCAAAGGCGTGGATTCCGAAACAGTGAAGAGGCGAAGCAGTGGAAGGGGAAGGAGAGAATCCGTAGTCGTTGGAAGTGATAGGTTCCATTTGTGTTGCAAAGCCGCACAAAGACCCCGCACAGACACCTTGCGATTGTTCAATAACCAGCATTTGGTGAGTAATTTATGGAATTTGTGTTTAGGGTTAGAGTAAAGGTTTTCCCCAATTTGTACCATCAATGTTGTTGGATTTGGCATCTCTTCCTTGTGCTTCACTTGCATGTTAATTTTTGCTTGTGTATATGTTAAAAAATGAATGAAAATCAAGTCAATAACAT